TAAAAGTTGAAGTATCAATTTGACCTCTTTACTCAAGTAAAAGTGAAAAAGTATGTGCTCCAAAAACTACTTCAAGTATAAAAGTATAAAGTAACCTTTAAAAAAAAACAGCCAGATGCCGCTATATGAATATTAAAGATAAATTTTTCGACTATTTCTAAAAATTCTCTGAGATAGGGCCAAGGATCTCCGTCTCCCGATACGCTCTCGCCTGTGTCCGACCTTTCACACATTTCAACATCTTTTTCTGAATCCCACATTTTAGCATGGCATAGACAATTCACGTTAGCAGTTTGAAGAACACTTCCTTGCTTCTGATGATTTCCTTTAGCTAACCAATGAGTGTTTGTGTTCTATGACTCATCCAATCACACTAGTTTTCACTAGATGTCGATGGAGCCAATGATCTGCATTGGATGGAGCACATGACGGGAAATAAATATTTACAAACATTAAACCAGGGGTAGCCAATTAAAATCAGTGGGTCTGAATAAAGAAAATACATTAAATTTTTAAATTGAAAAAAAAAAAAAATTGCATCCTGTGTTATCTCAGAGGAGTTGACACTTATATGACTGTATTCCTATACATCCATCAGTAGTTAAAGGTCAAGGGTCAGCAAATGCAAATTCTACCTGTAAAACAATGACAGCGTAATTGTCGCTGTCTGATCTGAGGCCTCATTTGGAGCTTCTAAACTGGCTTTTGAAAAACTTTGATAATTTGCTGCTAATATTACAGATTTTTTTTTAAATAAAAAACTAGCAGATGAGCACAATCAAACAAAAATTAGAATTACAATTATAGAGCAATCAGTATTATAAAAAAAAGTCCACACTGTTTCTGAATAGATACATTATTGTATTAGTTAAGTTCTGTTCCGTTTATGTATCTTTCCTTGAAAATATGAAATGTCCCATGCTCCTGAATGCACCATAGCTATCTGACGCTCGTGAATGCATCACACTGGTCTGTGAAAGCTGTGCTGTGTTGATGCGCGTTTGATTTTCCGCTTCAGACAAAGCTTTTCGGTTTCCAAACTCACGTCGGCATCACTGTTTATTGTTGTGTGTGAAAAACAAGAGACTAGAAAAAATAAATCAGCCGTACCTCGTTCAAAATCTTTGGATTAAATGTTGTTCATAACACCCATATATTTTTTAAATGAATCTTCCATATAATCACAAATGTTTTCCTCAGGAGAGGAATATTTAAACGTTTTTATATCATTAATATAACAACAAGTAGCTCTATTGGTCATAGTTTAATCCATTTCCCTCGTTGATATGTGGTTGTACAGAGCGAGGCGCGCTCTCGCTCTGTACAACCGCATAACACCGGACCGCGGTCCGCTAATCCGTGACCTCTGCATTAAACCGAAGCCAAAAGTAACGAGTAACGGTTGTTTTAATAATGTAAGGAATAGAAAGTACAGATACTCGTGAGAAAATGTAATGAGTAGAAGTCAGAAGTAAGAAGAAAAATTAGTAATGGAGTAAAGTATAGATACCTAAAAAGTGTACTTAAGTACAGTAAAGAAGTATTTGTACTTCGTTACTTGACACCTCTGAACTTGTATGTGATCTCCTGTGTGAACTGCAGTCATACAACGCAAATGTCCTGCATGCGCAGTAGAGGACGCAATGACGTCACAGGCCAGTGTGCTCTGTGTTTACAGAAGTAAACATGGATGGTAGTGCTCGAGAACATCTAGCGACCTTTCCCAACCATAACAACAAAATCTTTTCAAGATGGTTAAACATAAATACTACTCTCCACATCATCGTCCGCCATTTTTGTTGTTTTTCCTGCCGCTTCTGTGTAACAAGATCCAGAACATTGACCTTTGTCGGGTATTAATGGCGTATAGGTCAGATGAATGCGACCTGGCCGTTCAGACTCAGGTCACATTTGAAAAGATCAGATTTGTATCGGATTCAGGACCACATAGCCAAGTGGCCTGGGTCGGATTCGAAAAAATCGGATCTGTGTTGTTCAGACATCCATGAAAAGATCAGATCCAGTAGCCTGGGTGCCATTCCGAACTTAGTCCCGCCCACAACGTTTGAGGTCGGGAAGTTCGGTCTGGCATTGCTCAACAATAGCGCGAGTATGCTAGCACAATATCTGGCGGGCCAATCAAATTGTCAGGGCGGGCTTTTTACGATGATGGACAGATGATCAACAGTAAAGTAATCAACCATGTGACCAAAACGCGCATGGGTGACAACAACAATGGCTGCCGCTGGAGAGTTGGGGTGAGTAGATTCTGCTATTAGGTCTGTTTTAGAAGCTATCGACAGCAAATTAATTTTAAAAGAGGAACAGAGAAACGCGATCAAGGCTCATCTTCTTATTCTAGGCGTGCAACTGCACGCTTTGATTTTTGTTGACAAAAACTATGTGTCGCTTAACATACGTCTCGCACTCCGTTGCTCTTATTGGTTGTAGGTCTATCCATTTGAGTGCAGAGGCATTTTTTTTCCTGGTTCGTTCAAAACACGCCCCATAATCACAGCTCTATGGAGCAGTATCAGACTCATATTCTGACTAGAATTGAGTAGGACTACGTCAGGCTACAGATCCAGGTCGCATATGGGCAAAAAAAAAAATGAATGCAGCCTTAGATGTTTCGGTGCTTCAACACACCTGATATCTACCTGATATATTGATAGCAGATTAACTCTCCTACATGCCATTTCTGCACAGCCTTTCCTGTTTTAATCAGTTTTACAGCGACCTTAACTGGGCCTGCAAAGCATTCGGTGGTATTATGGGTTCTTTCTCCCTCCAGGATGAATTCCTGATCTACTCTTGCAGTAATTTTGGCAGGTCAGCCACTCCAGGTTCAGAAATATTGCATGTTTTCTCTATTTTGTGATAATTTCTCTGACTGTGAGTCAATGGACACTCAGAGCCTTAGAAGGTGCTCACTTACCCCTGTCCACAATGATAAATCTCAATGTTTTTCACATCTGTTCTTGAATTTATTTGGATCATGAACTAGGGCCTGCCTCCTTCAATCTTTTTCGACTTTACTCATGTTTTGAAACAGGTCTGGATTTTGGCTGTAGTGAAAACTTTTTGTTAAAAGCTACATGACAATCAGATTTCTAAAAAAAAAAAGGAAAATTATAGAAAAAATATTTAAAAAAGGAGGATAACTGTTTTTCCACATACGTCTAGGTAGGTAAGTATTGCTGTATCCCATACTGTAAAAAAAATAAAACAAATGAAAAACTGGTCTACTATGCAGTAAAATGTAGTTTATTGATGTTCTAAAATACTTCAATTGGACAAAAAGCAGTAAAAATTTTTAATCTCTTAAATGCTTTGCTAAAGCTTAGCCCTTACTTTAAGTTTGAAGTATTTTTTTATCAATCAAGAAATCACTCCCAAAGAAACACAATTTGCTGAGTAAAATATATGCTTTACACACAGACTGATTAATACAATGATTTCCTTACAGCTAACACGAACAGGACATTTAAAATCATATCACACCAAATGTGTGCTTACTGAGAAGTATGTTTAATACCTGCTTACGGATTATTTTTATTTAGAGGTACTTTTAATCTGATAAATGAGACACATATTGAATGGAATAAGATGATCTCTGAAGCTTAATCTCTGATATAACAAAGATCATTAAAGCTATTAGCATTTACTAAGGCTTACCTTTTAAGATTATGTTCTTTGCTTAAGGGAGGCAGTGATAATATCCAAGTCTGTAGAAGCAGCAGAATCGATGCAGAGCCAAATGTTTTGCAATAGGCAAAGCATGGAAGGACATGTGGAGACTATTAGTTACGGATTGGTAACCTAGAATTAAGATAGTACTTTATGTCCTTTCTGTGTGATATGCAGCATTCATATACATAACACTGTGGCTTCGAAAAAGATCCGCTAAAGATTTTGCTTTTTGAAAAGGCCCTATGGAAGACCAAATGGTCCCGAACCTCAAGTACATTTGCATTTGCCATGCTTTTTAACAACCTAAATATAATGCTGCAATGTGAACCCTGCCCACGCTCAGAGGTAAAGTCTAGCTTTTCCAAACATGCAGGAGCATGAATGCAGTTTAGAGCCTCTGCAAAAATGTCTTTTACTACACGGTAGATAACATGATACTCAAATGTTGTCAATGACCATGAAAGTTACTCCCAACCTCTGAGAAAATGTAGTGTTTTCAGATACTATTGTTATTAACAAAGCAAATTTAACCTAGAGATTTTTGAATTTATAATAATCTATTTCTTTATTTACAAGGTTTTTGTTTGGTTTCCCTTGGTTGCATTTGTTTCTTGTTGTGTCTTCCATTGCTCTAAGAACAGTATGTTTATGTTTCTCTACATGCTCAGTGATGCAAGCATTTTTTTGCTTAGTTTTTGATAGAGATAACGATAACCCTAAACTATATAAAAGCTGCACAGCGAGCTGCTGAGAAAGCATTATATCAAGAGAAAGAACAGGTGCTGCTGCCCTCCCTGCAGAGGTTAGATCTTAAAAACTTACTGAAAGTTCATAGATGTTATGTGAGCAACATTTTAGTTACAACTTGTCTTTAGAAAGGTTTCATTCAGGTATATTATTTTCCTTTCTTAAAAAGATAAACAGATACATCACCTAGGACTCTAACACAGATTTGGGTGTCCATGATTAGTGTCCTCTACTTTAGCCTCACCTGTAACCCTGTTTTGCTTCTAACCTTCAATCAGCATGGCCACATTGACGCAGCTCTCCATGCATGTCCATGTTTTAACCAACCACCTGATTCATCCACAGACACCATCATTTCAAATATTAACTTTAAAAAGCAAGAGATACATTTCCCTCTGAACCTACATTTCCTTTGCAGGCAAAATCTTGGCACAAATGTAATATACACAAGTAGAATAAATTCAGAAAAAGGAAAACTATGTGAAAACCAACCTAAGGTCTACCTTATAGGAAAAGTGTGTGAATTATGCTGTAAACGTTTGTGTAAGTGTGACTCTTACCTTTGTAGAGTGAGGCTGAGGTTGCCTGTGCAAGCCTTAATCTTGTTCTGAGCTTCAAGGTGATTCATACCCTCTGAAGAAATACCGTTGATAGAAAGTATGATATCTCCGATGTTCATCCCAGCTTTAACTGCCTTGCCGCCATCAGTCAGCTGCAAAGGAACACAAAAACAAACAGTTCAATATTGAAAGAATAGATTTGGGTTATACCAGCTCTGTTTAATGAGGAGTCGTCTTTACTTTCTCCATATAATCTCCAATTTCAAACACTTATAATTCAAACCTAGTGTTTTCTCATGTTAAAGACATGAGAAGGACTTTTCAGGGAGTTATGTAAGCACATTTGTTTGATTTGTTTCTCATAACCAACAACCATTGTGATCTCCTTTCCTTTTCCTGTCTTATCAGCTGAGATAGGAATCTTGTTCTCCAAACATTTCTCAGATACTACTCAACTTCCACAGCAACAATCTGCAAATAAAAAAATAAAAAAATGACTTGGACACATGATGGAAGAAATGAAAACTGAAAAGTTTTAAAGCTAAAACCTTTTAACTATGAAACATCTTGGCTTTAATGTTACAAATATTCTGAATCCGACTCAAGGTCGTCTTTAAATAATCTTTTATTTTTGGTGCTTAAAGTTCAATCTATCTTGGTTCAGTTCTTTTCCTACTTTGTATTCCAATCCACCATGACAGCTTTGTTTGTTTTTTTATGACGCATATTGAGGTCTTAATAGGTGCTAAAATAAAGGGCTGGAATTTGTTAAAAATGCACCTTACTGTTAGAAAGTGGAAAACTGATTACAGAGGAACATTTAACTCTTGTTTTTATTTTTAATCAATCATTACCACGTGTTTATAGATGGTATAATGAAAGTCCACACAGATCCTGAATACTTTAGTTTAAGGTCATTGTGTAATAGAACCAAAACAAGTACTTTAAAACATTCTTTTCCTAAAACCAAGAACAAATACCTGAATAACAAGACCCCAAATGAAATATGTTACGAAAAATATGATCCCCTAATGATCAAATCTTTAATCTAGACATATTTTAATACTAGATCAATCAGATTAACTGCTTTAGATCCAAATATATAAAAAACCAAGGTGCACCAAGTGTTAAAAATGTGCTAGGCGTTGAACTCCATAACTGCATAGGGAAGTTTTTTTTTGCAAAGGTAATTCTTCTCAAGCAGAAGGAAATATGAGTAGAGAGTAGCAGAATATTAACTAATGCTAAGACAGGTAAACAAAGAAAAATACTTTATTAACTGCTTCCTCATGCACTCAAACCAAAATTGACTATCTGTAAGCTCTTCTATCATACGGAAGATTTTCCAAAGCAAATGAAAAGTAAGACGAGATTACCTTTTTAGTATGGCTACCATAAAAATCCAAAGTATCACCTGATGGTTTTTATTATGAAAGCTAAAACAGGGTCTTAAAAGTGTCTTGCAGAGCGAAGTGAGAGTTAAGGCCAATGTTTCATCAATTTTCACTGTGCTGAGTCTTGCATTTTATGCATGGAAATAACGTCATAAAATCGTGACGACTGCATGACACGCTTTGAGGTGTGATGACTGACATGTTATTACACATAAGGCTGTGCACACCTCATCAATCAATCAGCACTCTCTTAACACACTCAAACCCTGCACAGCCATGCTGACTGCCAAAAGGACTCTGTGCACTCATTATCTTAGTCTTTATTACCACCATAACTTCATGTCATCTTTCAACGAGGTGATCCAACATGAATCAATGTGACAATAGACAGTTTAAGTAAAGTGGGAAAGTTCAACAAAAGGAGTTTTCTCAATATTTTGTCTGCTTGCTGGTTTAGATATTGAGCGAAACAAACAAAAAAAACAACCTCTTACAGACAACTCAGCAAATTTCTAGGATCCCTTATCTTGCATCTGTTATCCTCACCCCCATTCAGTTGGGTGAAGCTATTTATACGAACCAAAACTGATAAGGACAGCGAAACAAAGAAAAACAACATATCCCCTTTCCTCACAGCTAAAGAATGCATTCAGGTTGGGCAACTCTGAAATGCAGCCATTGTCCCATTGTGTTTACTCTCAACGTAACAAAATAGAGGAAAAGAATGGGAAAGGGAATGGAGGAATGAGGAAGTGACACCACTAGTGCCAGCAATTGCCACATTTTTCTCTGGGCTTTGAAGAGCGCTGCTTTCCTCCCCTCACTTGCTACTTGATCAGTATCAGGAAGTCTACAGCTCAAAGCTGAGGCTGATGTAAGGATACCAACGTCTAGGACAGCGGTTCCCAACCTTTTTGGACTTGGCCATTATATAATACCATGAGTTGGTTGTTATTTTCCAAAAAAAATAGAAAGTACAACTGATTATAAAATGAAAAATATCTTTTTATTTTCCTCAACCTGAACATTTAATACTCAGACATTTAATTCTTTTCAATTAGAACCTTAAACCTGGGTTTGAATGGCGACAAAGCCATTCTCAAGCACATATCAAGGTGCTCATTTTAAGCCTGGATCAATATTTATTTTTGATAATGTTCATGGTGGGGAATGCTGCTTCACAGCAGCAGGTTGAGCCAAACATACTCAAAATGTGCAGGGTGATCTTTGAGCAGGACATTTCACTTTTCTGTTGCCAGTTCACCGTAGTTCTTCCAGCAATCGACAATTTCTCTGCTTTTCTCCTTCTTTCCCATCACCCAGTTTGCAACAGGTTTGCCTGCTGACACAGCTCATTGGCTAATTTGTGTCACGTGTAGCCTGGTCCCGGCACTCCGGAGGGCTTTACCATATTAACAGCAGAAGTGGCGCAAGTGAAGTTAGACACTGTCGTCGAAAAACATGCGGTAATTTATACATTTTTTAAATCAGGTTGGGTCCGGATTAGCCAGCCGATGGGTCTGGATCCGGACCGCGGTCCGCTAATCTGTGACCTCTGCTCTAGTCTTACAGAAAATTTCAATATGACTTTTTATTTTTTTTTTTTATCTTTTCGGTTGATAAAATCTTGGTTTATTTTGCATTTGGTTCCTTAAAAAGTAAAACCCATCCCAGACATATTTTATTTTATTTCTTTATCTGCAAAGTAAAATATTAAAGGTTTTCATGTACCCCCTGCAATGCATTGGCAGACCACTAGGAGTGCTAGTACCCCTGGTCAGAAATCACTGGTCTAGGTCAGCAGTACCCAACCACCGGGCCCCGGACCAGTACCGGTCCGTTGGTCATTTGGTACCGGGCCGCATAGAAAAAAAAAAAAAAAAGACTGGACATCAGGAGCATACTACGTGTGTCATTGTCTCCGATTACACCTAGATGGGACCGGCTTGTTTCGGAGAAACAAGCTCAGGGCTTCCACTACTTCAATAGTGGTGATTTTTATTTTTATGCTGTTTGTATTTGATTTTATACCGCTTGTATCATTTTATTTGATCGCATTTACCCCCCACACTTTAAAGGCCGGTCCGTGAAAATATTGCCTGACATATAACCGGTCCATGGCGCAAAAAAGGTTGGGGACCGCTGGTGTAGGTCATCTATGATGAGGCCACATGGTATAATAGGGCTCTGAAAAGCCCAGTGTGTGGACAGACTCCTTCCTTTAAGTGAATCACTTGCTAATTAAACGTGTGACACAGATTCTGACGTACCTACAAGCATTTAGTGAATCATATTGGTTTACTTTTAATGAAGCAACCAACATTCTCAGAGTATTCGTCACAATCCTCGTTTTCAAAACCTCTGTTTTCACAAGTGGAAAAGGCTTGTAGATTGTGATGATTATAAACAGCTTCATGTTCAAGTTGAATAAATAATCAAATAAATAGAGAGTAAGGGTTACATTTTGAGTTCACTCATCCTCTTTATCCATCCATTCTAGCACAGAGATCACACAACGGCCTACATAAATAGTTTCCATAGAGAAAATCCTCCTTTTATCATCTTTTTGTCTTGTCAAGAAGTTGACATTCATCCATATAAAATGTATTCATTAAAATAGTTTTACTTTTTCTATCCTCCTCCTCAACTTTTCAAAAGTCTTTTTTTATTTTCAGAACAGACTTTAAAGTATGTCAGCTATTTTGAATCCCACAGTTTCAGAGATCGGTACTAGAGAAACTGGAATTTTGTGCAGTATAATAAGATACTTCTCTGAAGCGCACATTTTGATTTACTGTAATCTGAAGTGAACAAACCATACTTTGTAAATCCCAACTTTCCCCCATTCAATCACTGTCGATCTCATGTGGATACAAAACAAATAGATGTTGAGTAAGAATCTCTGGCATGTGGAGTCTATAAATATAAATCAAGCAAGGTCCGGGAGAAACTCGTGACAGAAAGCAGATAAGTTATAAAAATTGACATTTGCTGTTCTCCAAAGAGAGAAGTATTTTGTCACATAGTGTTTAATCAGATCCTATAATTTCATGTCCACCATTAAAACTTGGAATTACTTAAATCTTTGCAACATAAAATGGAAAAGACCATGTAATGGCTGTGTAAAAATTTAATGTAATTACGGGAGTGGGTGATGGCTGTGCTTTTTAAATTAATAAGGGTAACTGTCCAGCTGTGTTGAAGCGAATGGGATTTCGCCTGCATCATAGTGAGGCCACTGTTTCGTGGTTTTCTTCGCCATACTGGTAAATTTACTGCTGTGCAGTCATTAATAATGACTGGTGTTTTCAGTGTGGTTCTGTGAAGGCAATAAGTCAGACAAGTAGCTGGGAATTTAACATGTTATACAGCTCTAACAGAAATGATGTTACATTTTAACCAAAAAGAACATAAAAAACATTTTTGTTGTGTTAAAAAAGTGTCCCCTTTGCCTAAAAAAGCAAGCAACCATAGTATTATCCTTGATGAATGGAAGTTTAAAGACAAATTGGCAGTCTATTAATGTTTCAGTTGAACATAAAGCTGATTCTTTAAACATACTTGAAAACATTTAAATCTAAATAATACACTTTAACATCTTTCATCAACACCTTTTCTCGACAGTTTAACTAGCCATTGCTTTCAGCCTCTCCCATTGTCATGAGGACACTAATCACCTCCCCTGGTTCTCAGTGTGCAACTTCCTGCCTTTGGCGAAAGCATGGAATAAGGAATGGAGTTGTCTCACATCTGAGAAG